TAATGAGTATATTATGATAGGTTCAGGGTTCATATAACATTTCAGACAGGGATTACTGCATACCCCACACCCACCCCTGTTTATACCCCCCCCCCTCCTTACCATTCAAAACTGGTTTTGTGCGATTGAGAATACCGTAGTGATTGTAATAGAGAGTACAGTGCAGATATACGTTGTTGTCAAGGATCATCAAACACCCCACACTGATCGCCCCTGTTTTTACCCCCCCCCTTTCCCATACTGGTTCTGTGGGGGTTAAGAATACCGCAATGAAAGTAATAAAGAGTATAAAATGATACCTGCAGAGTACAGGTATTCATTTCTGACAGGGATAATCGCTCACCCCGAACTCACCTCTGTTGACACCCCACTGGTTCTGTGGCGTTGAGAACACCGTCATCATGGTAGCAATGAGTATATTATTAAGTACTGGATTCGTTCAGAATACAGATTATATACATTTCTCAAAGTGATAAGAGCACACTTGACGCCCAACTAGTTCTATGGTTGAGAACATCGTAACGATAGTAACAATGAGTATAATAATATGATACGTGCAGATGTACGTTGCTGCCGGTAGGATCACCGCATACCCCAAACTCACCTCTGTTGACTCTCCGCTGATTCTGTGTGTGTGTGTGGGGGGGGGGGGGGGGGGGATACCATAATGCTAATAACGTTAATTATAATATGTGCAAATGCACACATAGATCAGAAACAAATCAAACTCTTTACAGGAAGTGACTCTTTGAAATCGTCACAGGCGCCTTTTATTGAAAGTTATCGTGTTTGCTAGAGCAAGTGTAATATTATCTCTTTTTTACTTTTTTCAAGACTCCTTGCTGTTACCTTACTGTGTTTGTTGTATCCCTTGTTGCATGGTTATGTTGATATTGACTAATGTTTCCCTGACCGCCTCTATCCATCTTTTCCTGGGCTTAATATTAACAAAGATAAAGCAGTCCAACAATCTAACCGAAAGAAACAGAGGGGGCTCTCGTGGTTTAGAGGTTAAGGTGTTAACGTCTCATTCAACAGATCCCAGGTTCCAGTCCGGAGAGCGACGGAAGTTTGTCTTCTCTAATTTGTCTCCTTTCACCTCCTTACCTGCTCTCAAGCAATATTCTATCGTCTGCTTTCGTCTTCACTTTCTGCCCACACCCCTCACCTCCTTTGCTCCCTCCTCATGACTTCTCACTCTTTCTGCAGCCTTTCTACTGTTACTCCTTGGCCCCTTCTTATTGCTGTCTTTCAGCCACACCCCTGATCTTATAGTAGGTAAGATCTAATACCAAACCGTCTCGGACAGGGGCGAAAAATGTCGGAGGTCTCGTGTGCAAGTTGCACACGTTAAAGATCCCTTGGTGGTCCAAAATCGATAAGAGTAGACTTCGGCCGCCACTCGGGGCAGAATACAAAATTTTCTTCCAACTGAAAATGGTCAATATGTCCCGCGCGTTCATTTGACCTTATGCAGTTGCGAGCGCCGTAAAACACTTACCAAAAAACCCCAACAACAACAACAACAACAACAACAACAACAACAACAAAACCAACAACCAAAGAGAGGCCATCACTTACATAGTAGCCTCCACAGTTGAGTCGGTTATCGTCGTAGTTTATGGGTGTCTTGAAGTTCTCCCGCCACATACTGGCACGTGCCGGGGGGTCCATCAGGTACCCATGACCTTGACACAGTTCTGGGAGGCTGACCAGTGCCCACAACAACAGAGCCCTCGTCGCCGCGTCTTGGACCATAGCTCAGGCTGTCGTGGAAGTTTGTCTGTTTGTGGATGAAGTGGACAAAGTGGACAACAATGAATATGTAATGTAATGGACAATTAAGTACCTAGTCGAGAGACTAACATACAATGAATAGTTTCAATCATTCATGAGACTACCAATACAATGAAACATTTCTTATTCATGAAGCTAACAATCCAATGTATAGCCACTCATTCATAAGACTAGAAACAAAATGTTAACCCCCCCCCCCCCCCCCAAAAACAACCAAAAAAAAATTTAATTAAAAAATCCCCTAAACGACAACAACAAAAACCAAACCCAAACAACCCTCTGTCTCGAGACTTATAACACAATGAAACAACCCAATCGTGAGATTTACAACACAATAAACAACGATTAATTCATGAGACTTACAACACAATAAACAACTTATTCACGGGAGCCTTGAATAAAAGAGAGCAATTGGGAATTAGATCCGTCCATGTCAGCTCCAGACAAGACAAAATTTTGAAGTTGATAAGATTACATGTACTTACGCACAGTGATCGAGTTGACCATTGTGAGCCTAGGGGTCAGCGGGTGCTGGGTGCAGATAACATCTTCATTACGCAATGATCATGTTTCTGGGATTGGCTTGTTTATAATGTTCAAAGTTTTAAGCTACTTATTCATACTCGAATACCCTCTGAGGGGCAACAGGGTCTACGTATACACCCGGGCAAGTCGAAATTAGTGAAGCTAGGAAAAGTTTCAAGCCCTGCTGTGAGAGTGGAAGACACTCCCATGGAAGAACTGGACTCCTTTACCTACCTTGGAAGTGTCATCGATGGTAAAGGTGGAACCGAGGCAGATGTAAAAACAAGAATCGCCAAGGCAAGGTCAGCATTCAATCAATTATCAAAAGTCTGGAAAGCAAGCAACATCTCACTGCGCACCAAGATTCGACTCTTTAACTCCAATGTCAAGTCGGTACTCCTCTACGGCTGCGAAACTTGGAAGACAACAAAGGTAGTAATGAATAAAGTCCAGACTTTCATCAACAGATGTATGAGTATGAGAAGTATCCTAAGAATTAAGAGGCAGGATAGAATAAGAAATAAAGAGCTGTGGGAAACGACAGGACACTTGGATATTGAAGTAGAAATAGGACTTAGAAAGTTGCGATGGATGAGGCACACCTTCAGAAAGCTCAGCGGAAACATCACACGACAGACCCTGCAGTGGAACCCACAGGAAGCACGAGACAGGGGTAGGCCACGGGAAACATGGAGTAGATGTGTGGAAAGGGACATGAGAGAGATGAAGCTCACTTGGAACAAGCCAGGAAGGATGGCCCAGCCAAGACAGAGATAAATGGAAGGAGCTTGTATGTGGCCAATACTCTGCCAGGGGTGAAAGGCATTGGTGATGATGATGAGCCTCTAAAGGGCAACAAGGGTCTTCAGCAAATTTCTTTGGCAGCATGCTCACCCCCAAGTTACTACGTGGGTTCTGATCTGAGGGGCAAGTGGCTACATGAAAACAGGGATAGTCTGCTAGTCCACTTGACGGTCTACCTGATCGATCATGGTCAAGGAGGTTGTAAATAAAAGGAAAAGTCCTTGGCCATTGCCCATCTGTGCTGTACCCATTGGTTAGAGTTAGGGTTACGACTAGGGTTAAGGTTAGGGCCAGGGTTGTTGATTGCAGGAGACTAGAAGACCGTCAAGTGGAACAATTGTCACACTGGTCCGGAGGTAGATCGTCAAGTAGAAAAGACACATCAGGGTAGACCCATACATCTACCGACGCCCGTCTCTTACTCTTACGGTATTCTAGAATGCAGTCGGCGCGAGAACCTTTTAAAACAAAAACATTAGTCGCTGAGAATACTTATGAGACTTAATGGAGATGAATTTGATGTCTCAGACTATGAAGATCCACGCCGATGCACCAAGTTTAAACACGAGTAACTCCTCTTAAAGAATCAACACAATTAGTGTTGTGTTACGTGCATTTTAAGAACCCAACTCAAGAGCAAAGTGGAGTTCACTACTTTGCAATTGCAATACACCGTTTTGCCATCCCCCCCCAAAAAAAACAACAACAAACAAACAAACCAAAACAACAACAACAAAAAACAAACAAACAACAACAACAAAACAACAACCCCCAAACAAAAAAAACAAACAACCAAACAAACAACAACAAACAAACAAACAAAAAAGCCCAAAAAAACAACAACAACAAGAAACAATAACAACAACAACCAACAAACATACAAATCTACCCCCCCCCCCAAAAAAAAAAAAAACACACGAAAAAACAACAACAACAACAACAAAAACAAAAAAACCCAATAACCCAACCCCAAAAACCGAAAGGGAAGAGGATGGGAGAGACATTGAGAGAGAGATAGGAGGATAAAAAAACAAGGTCAGACGGATCAGGCGGAAATAGATGAAGAGAAGGAGAGAGAGAGAGAGAGAGAGAGAGAGAGAGAGAGAGAGAGAGAGAGAGGGGGGGGGGACAGACAGACAGACAGACAGGCAGACAGACATACAAACAGACAGACAGACAGACAGACAGACAGACAGACAGAGCGAGAAAAAAAGGGGGGGGGGGTGTGAGACTGCAGGAACGGGCGAAAGAGGGAGTAGGACGCTATATTTTCACGCATCATGATTCTAGCTTTGTCTGTCTGTCTGTCTGTCTGTCTGTCTGTCTGTCTGTCTGTCTGTCTGTCTGCCTGCCTGTCTGTCTGTCTGTCTGTCAGTCTGTGTTTGTTTGTCTGTCTGTCTGCCTATCCGTCTCCCCCCTCCTCCCAATCCCCTGCCCCTAAAAAATACCCCAACATACATACAAATATGTGTACAATTACTGTTGGGGAAAAAAATTATGACAAGTCTGCAGATCTAGTAAGCTTATGGTCGTAATTTTGTCTATATACTCTCGAATAGTTCATTACATGCTGAACAAATGTGAAAAACAGAGTTTTAGATAGGGAAATACGCAGATAGGCAGTCAGGCAAAGAGAAAGAAGAACTCGCACAAAATAGATGAAAAAGTGTGAGTGGACTTTGAAAAAGGGAAAGGTGGGGGGGGGGGGGGTAAATTAGCAAATCTAATGTTTGAAAAGTACGCGCTTGTGTGAGCGCGTGTGTATTTTGTTTTGTTTGTTATTTTTCTATGAGATTCTTGGGTGGGCACGGGGTTAGGGTATTTTTGTAACCTCCTAGCCCAGGCTCATGGTTTGAAAAATAAAAATAAAACCGAAAAGAAAAAGAAGAATTTTCTTTTCGGGATTCATTAGGCCTGCATGTATCACAATAATGCACCCGATACATGTCTTATTTTCCACTACAAAATCGGTATATTTCAATTTTGCTCCTCCCACTTGTAAAGACAATTAATCCATTCCTTCCCTTTTGTCTAATTTATATTGTCTACGTTTCATCATTAAAGCGTAGCTATTCTAATAACAAAAACAAACAACACACAAGACAAACTCACCTCTACTTCACGATAGGAGAAAAATCAATCTCAATGACTGACCCAGTCCTCCCTCTCTTCTTTCGTTTGACCAGAGGAGTATTTGAGCATTTATGTTAACTAGTACGTTCCGGCATTCCACGTCGCCTCTGAGGTTTCTGGGAGAACGCAAGTGCGTTCCAAACGATCAGGTAGAACTTAAATGGGTCTTTGACTTTGAGGCCGATGGTGCCAGAAGGGAGTGGAGTAAGTGTATGGGACAGGACTCCTTGTCTTATTACCTAACGAGGCTCGAGAGTCGGAAGCAGTGGAAGATAAGAGCATGACTTACCAGAAACGATTAGCCTTTTCATATACATTAGGCTTATAGGACGAATGCGTCAGACGTAGTTGTATTAATAATGTAGTGGTAAAGATAGGTCTCTTCTTCCTTTTCTCTATGGGGGGTGCCTGCCTGTCTACTCTGTGTGTCTTGCTGTCTCTTTCACACGCACTTGCACGGGGAAGGGGGGAAAGGGGGGGGGCACACAAAGAGAGAGACAGACAGACAGACAGACAGACAGACAGACAGACAGACAGACAGACAGACAGACTGACAGACAGACAGCCTAAGAGACTAATACGAATAGCCATGTTCCAAAACAATACAATACATCTCCAGAGAGTAGTCATGGCAACAACAAAACTTTCCACCCTTCCCAAATGAAGTATGGGTTACACATTATATTATAAGCTTAGGTATCTACATTATATTATTATTATTATACTGGAAGAGATCTACATGCTCAACCAATTGAAGTCGGGGAAGGTTTGAGAACAATGTTTCGTACACTTCTAAAATTGTGGAAAAATTATCAACACTTTAGTCAAGGAGCCCTTGAAATTATGAAATATTACATTACTTTTAATTGAACGCAAAATGACAACATGCAAACTAAATGTTTATACGTAGATAAACATAGTACAAGTAGATAGTCTATCGTCTGTTTAGCAGACAGTGCACATGTTATCCGAAGAGTGTCTAGTTCGTACTGTATCTTGTAGGCTTACACATTCTTCGACACCCCTCCTCAATGCATGTATCTCCTCTTTTCTTTTCGAGTTCTTTGTAAGAATAATTATGTTGCAGATTGATTCAGGTATAGCTCTTTTTCTGTATATGTTATATTATTATTATTATTATTATTATTATTATTATTATTATTATTATTATTATTATTATTATAAGGCTTTTCGCAAAAAGAAATGGTTTAAAAAAGTCGTTCTGTAGGCGTACACTGTCCAGACTTACACAATCCTTTTGTTTTCAACACATAGACGCAGTATTTCAATATCTCAGACGAATAATAAATTCTTCGATTATTTATTCAAGCCTAGATTCGTTAACAGAGAAAATGGGTTGGGTCATTCGGTATCAAAATGTCCTGCTTCGGTTTCTCAGTAGGGTGTTAAGTATTTAAGATTACACCCCACATTCAAGCTGACATTTTTTGACTCATCGTCCCCTGAATGCAGTCCACCTAGCCCCGATATCTTGAAACTAATATAATGTCATAGCTTAACACGGAAATGGGATCGGGCCAATATATATATATATATATATATACATGTACAGTGTTACTATAATTTATAATTATCGCTACCTCAGAACTACAAATTTGTTTCTGCTCCGTATAGTGGAACTCGGATTTAACGAGCTCGGATTCAACGAGAACTCGGATTCAACGAGAACTCGGATTCAACGAGATGAGATATATTCCCCGTTGTTTTTTTCTTTAAAATCAATAAAAGTAACCCGGATTCAACGAGCACTTAAATCAGCGAGCTCGGATTCAACAGGGTGAACAGCCCCTGCGGACGTGCCTTCGCTAATTTTTCTCCCAGAACGAACTTTATCTATTCCCGGAAACAATCCATTGCACCTGCATCGTGAATCATTATTCACTTAGCCGATTGCATGCGACCAATCAGCGGCCTTTTTAAATACCAACACATGTGAAGTTGGCCCACGCACGTGTTTTCTCTGGTGTGAGTCGGGGTCGGATGGGCGGCCTGCACACGTGTGACTGTGTATGCGTGTCGGGGAGGGGGCACTAGCGGTCCGGGCGTTGAACGTCGCATACAAAAGCGTCATAGTCTTTTTTCCCCTCGGCAACTGATCAATATTACAATAATAAGCTAGTCTTGACGTAGATCTAAGTACTGAATTGTGCGCTGGTCTATGGAATCAAAATTTGCCGTATGCTAGGCTCTACACAGCAACACAACTTTTTGGTAAACAATCGAGATTACACAGGCGTGAGTATTTGAACGAATCGGTCTTAAAAAAAAAAAAACACAGCTCATAATATGCAGGCATTTCAGGCACTACTTACGACTTGTCTCGTACAGTACTTGCTCAGTACCTGTAATTTTCTACACAAAACCTCGTGTTTGCTATACGAACACTCGTACTCAACGAGATTTTAGGTCAGGCCCGACGACCTCGTTGAATCCAGGTTCCACTATACCTAGTTTTGAGAAATTTAACTTTAACGATTGCGAGTTTCACATCATGTCAAGCATTTTCGAATGCTGTTCTGTGAATGAATATCTTGGTTATCGTTGATAACGACTCCGAATAATCTTACGCTTTTGATAGAGCAGATAGAATTTGGTTTCTGACCTCATGGTCTGAGTAACTCAAAACGGCCAAAAATGTCAGACAGAATTATAATTCTGAGGTAGTGATATACTATATCATTATCGTTATCGCTTTCCCCTATGGCAATTTGTACTACTACGATCAGGCTGACTGAAAATTGAAAGTCAATTTTTTAAAATCTTTTAACTTTTCTGTTTCAAACCCTTGGAGGAGATATTACATTGCAGAAGGAAACCTATGCTCGTGTGTAATAAAAACTATCCTATTCGTTAATAATTACATAGGGCTATAGTGTATGTAAATTTGATCCCCACCTACCGCGTTCATATGACCGTATGCAGTTGTGAGCGCTGTAAACCCCCCCCCCCCCAAAAAAAAAAAAAAAAAAAAAAAGCAAAAACAAAAACCAATCAAACAAAAACAAGAAGCAACAACAAACAAACAACAAAAAATCAAAAGGAAAAAAACCAACCCTGTTTAAAACGTATAACAGGATTCGGCTATAACAGGGGTATCACGTCAGTCGCGACGGTGCTGTTGCTAGAAGAACCGGGGCCCACAGCATGGCTGCATATAGATTAAGTTAACGAATACCGTATCCAAAAGTACTTGAAAGTAGTGAACTCATTTTTTACAAGACCACAGCAATATATAACACTCACAACCAAGTTTTAGTAAACGTTTCACGGCTTTTGCAAAACAATTACGTTATGTAAGTGCCAGAGATTCGAGGTGTTACAAGACACACATTAAAATAAAAAAAATAGGAGAGATATATGGAAGATAGATGTTTGGCTTTGAATAGATAGGAAAGGAGTTAAAAAACACACAAAAGCATCCGCCAACAATCCACTTAATGACTTATGCATGTCCACAGACAGGTGCGTTGATTGTTGCTTGAGTGCTGAGGTACATGTACCTCGTCGCTGTCTTTTTTTTTGGGGTGCTTTCTTCTGAGCGATTTTAGACCACCAACGGATATTTACAACCTGCGCAACTTGCACACGGGCCCTTCGTGAAATTTTCGCTCTTGTTCGAGAAGGCTAGGTGTAGATCTTACCTACCAGAAGATCAGGGGTGTGGCTGAAAGACAGCAGTAATTGAATAAGAAGGAGCCAAGAGTAGCCAGTAGAAAGAGTCAGGAGCCCAGAGGAGGGGGTGGGGGCAGAAAGAGGAGACGAAAGCAGACGACAGAAAATGGTTAGAGAACAGGAAAGGAGGTGAAAGGAGATAATTTTAGAAGAAAAGTTTTCGGTCGCTACCGGTACCCAGAATCTTTGATTGAATGAGAGGCCTTAACCTCTGGGCCACGAGAGCCCCCCGACAGATGTTAGATCAGAAAGAAGGAGCAAAGCACACCAGGGCACCCGCCAACCACCTACTGCAAGTCTCTGTTAAATTTCTGAAACTGAATGTCGACATTTTTTTATTTCCATGCCAGCCTTTTTTCCCGATCACAGATGCAACACAGCAAGGTATTATGGAAAATGTCAAGTAAAATACATGTATTATAAAAACACACACAACATAGGCCTACTCCATGCAAATACCGCATGTATAAATTCAAATTATTGACCAACCTGCGTTGAGTTTTTTAAAAAATTCATTTATTTAAAAAATTGTTGGTAAGTGTTTTACGGCTCTCGCAACTGAATAAGGTCAGAATATGATGAGCGCGCGGGACACATTAAACACTTTCAATCGGTAGAAAATTTTGAATTTTGCCCGGGTGGCGGCCAAAGCCTACTCTCATCGATTTTGGACCACCAAGAGATCTTTAACGAGCGCAACTTGCACAAGGGACCTCCGAGATTTTTCGCCCTTATTCAAGAAGGCTAGAGGTGTTAGATCTTACCTAACATAAGTTCAGGGGTGTGGCTGAAAGACAGCAGTAAGGAGCCAAGGAGTAGTTGTAGAAAGGCTGCGGAGAGTCAAAGGTCCGGAGGAGAGGGCAAAGGAGGTGTGGGGGTGGGGTGGGAGCAGAAAGTAGAGACGAAAGCAGACGATAGAATAATGTTAGTTAGAGAGCAGGAAAGGGGGTCAAAGGAGAAAATCTCAGGGAAGAAAATTCCCCGTCACTATCCGGCTTCAAACCCAGTACCTATTGAATGAGAGGCACTCCATAACTTCTCTACCACAAGAGCTCCTTCAAGTAAATGTGAGAACACTCACTACAACATAGTCCATGAAGATACATCAAGTATAAAATCAAATTATTGACCAACCTGAGTTGAGTGAGATACAGAATGTGATCTAAAAAAGCTTCTACTGCGAGCAAGACGACTGACTTTCATTAGACCACAGACGTTTGCTGCACATCATCATTGTTAATGTTAATTTGACCCACTGGGTTCTGTCTTTGAAATGACTTGCTTTGTCATCAACAACAGTTTTGTTTACCATGACACATATTATCATTCCACTTCTTTTTCCCGCGGCAAGTAGTGCGGGTCACTGGGCTGGGACTAGGACAGACTACTCCGAAGAATGGCAGGAAATACGGGCACAGCCCTGGATAATGGTGTGCTGGTCAAACTCGGCCAAAGTTTTATGTTAAAATTTTTTAATCAGGCACTTGTCAATATTTGGGCATTTAGACATAATCTTAAAGCCTATTCATTTGTATTGCATTTGTTTTTTTAAAAAGTACCCATCTTGAACAGAAGTCGAAATATGTTCGCAATTGAAGTTGCTTTAGTTTAGTAAGTGTTTTACGGCACTTGCAACACAATAACTAAGGTCATATAAGTGCCGAAGACTGGAGGTGTTACAAGAGAGTAACAAACACACACACAAAAAAAAATAGGAGAGATAAGGAAGATAGAGTTTGATAGAAAAGAAGAAGCAAACCACACCAGAGCACCCGCCAACCACCCACTTGAAGGCGTTGGTGTCGCCTGGTGACAGATACAATTAGTGAGAAAATGGCAGCCGAATTTGACTTCAAAGCTGTACATGAAGTGTATCCTTGAAAACTGCAAATGTACATTTTTTTGGGTGCCTTTGGTTGCTTTCACGAAAGCCTGCACAAAAATGTGTTTTAAATGGACATAAAAGTGTAAAATAGAGCCCTAAACAAAACAATTGCCAAACAGGTGCAAAAACGTTTTCTTCGACGCTGACTGCTTATTGGTACCACGATTGTTTGCAATGAGGCTGATCCTAGTTCCATCAGTTCAATCTGGTAATCGAGCGCTCTTAAACCTGGATTGTATGGAGTTTTATTTACATCAGTCCATTTCTGTTAATATTTTCCCCTCAATCACTCAACTGTGAAACAAAAAAAACCAACAAACAAATGTACAGCACTGCGCCTCTACGACTATGGCAGAAGAAAACACAAAATGACAGAACAATGTAACAGATGTACATAGGCCAAGGGTCAAAGAGGGTGACCTTACAAAAGCAACAACAAAGTAGCGTTAGTTTAATTATTTTTATTTTTGTACATACAATTTGCGTTACTTGTACTGATATAAGTCACATTCCCACAACCAACTCTCAACGGATCAAACACACACCACTCAACCAGTCCAGGTACACACATTTCATCTTCTATCAAGAACTTGTGAGTAAAATCAAACACACCATCATAAAGACTTGTTGCATTCTCCGTGCACACACCTGATGTAAGGATGACTCAAGAGGAATGACTTCTCTTTGACTTGAGAGCAATGAAATCTTCTGACCTCCCTCTGTCAGGGAGCAATAATTAACTTGGCAAACTTGGTAACAAGTCCAACATTTACACACAATTACAACTCACAAACACTCAACTCAATATAACTAGTATCCAAAAAAAGAGCTTTGCAGTTATACATCAAATTTTGAAACTTCAATTTTTTATCTAACAGTAAAAAGTTCTGTGAACTAGATCAGAATCTTAAAATCCCAGTCTCAATGTCTTAGAAAAAAAATTCCCCCAAGACACAAAAACACCCAACAGAATAATTTCTAACAATTGCAGCATGTCAACTGCAGGCATTAAATAAATATCATTTTTTGACAGCAAAAGAAAAAGTCACATTTTCAGAATTCCTTCACAGCTGACAAGAGTTTCTGCACTTGTCACCATCAAAGACAGAATAACGGCAGTCAATGTTCCTCTTAAATGAAATCAAGCACATGGTCCCAAGATTTAGCCGCGTTTGTATTTTCCCCAGATGTGCAACACGAAGACTGAAGCGATGAAGATGAGACTCATGACCAGGACTGGTACTGGGCCGCTGGAAAACAGAACAGAAAACTATGAAATACTGACATTCCAATCCTTTGACAGGGATATGGAGATCATAGGTTACATCCTCATATTTTTCGGTGAACCGAAACTATTGCACAAACATGCAGCAAGTTATAGCATAGCGGAAGTCTCATGAAAGTTGACACCCCCCCTCCCCCCTCCCCCGGGAAGTTCCAGTCCACCATCCCAACCCTCCACATCCCAGCAACAAACCATTACACATAAAGCTTTCATGCAACTGACCGAAGAGGCCAGTCCACTTCTTTTCTTGCATTTTAAAGATAAAAGGGAGGAGAAACTAAAGATGAACTCTGCACCCTTATCTTATGCCAGCTGTTTATGCATTATTCTAATATTACTAATAACATTCTCTTTCAAGAACTGGGAATTTCTTAAAAACACCTCCATTAAAGTTTAATCATGAAAGTCATTTTTCTATCAGTCAGAATCTCACTCTTATCCACTGCATAAATTCACATGATCAGACAGATCTAAATTTAAAAAGAATTTTTTAAACCCAAACTTTTCCTACTCCCGCGGGATCACTGTTAATCCCGTTTCCACTTACTTCAACACAAAATGAAGAAAAATAAAAGTGCAGCACATTTTGTACAACTTCTCACAACTTGCATGCCCATATGACCTTATGCAGCTGTGAGCGCCGTAAAACTCTAACTAAAAAAAACCCAACCTTTTCACTTGACAAATTTTAACAGCATTTCACTGATGCCACAATTTAAAAATCATTTTCAAGTAAAATAAGGTCCAATTGATTGATTCTATGCAAACGGGCGTCTCCATACAAAAGATAAGCTCTTGTATTTCTAAAACTGAACCTCCCATTTACACAAAAAGATCAAAGTGATCCAGAAAACATGAGTACAGAGAATGCCATTGTACTTTTTAGTATTCAGTTAAGTCCATTTCACATTCAAACATTCTCCAAGACGATCATGGGCACTTTCCTCTAAATTCAAACAGAAAGGCATGAACTTACACTTTGATTCCCGGAGAGTCTTCGGTGTAGAATCTCCACATTCCAGCGCTGCTTCCCGCTGCCTTGCGAGCTCCACCAGTGGCAGGGGCTTTCCTGATGGACATAACAGAATACAATAAATTGTATAGGAGAGATGGTAAAAACTATTGCAAAGATGCATAAAAATTACTACATTTAGCAAGGTGCCAAAGGAAAATTAGACAAAGCCAACACACAAAGAAAAAACAGAAAAAAAGTAGACAACACAAGGGGACTAATGGAGTACAAACAACAATTAAAAACTAGTAAAATGTACAAACTAACCCACTGCAGAAAAACATGACATTTAGTTCATACAGTGAAGATGACTGATGCTATCATTTGATGTGAAGGAAATGATAAACACTTTAAAAAATTAATTTAAATAGCATTTTCTCAGATGTGAGTGAAAATGACACTAAAAATAAGAAAATAGAGTATACCAACATTAATTCTGTAATGCTTTTTCCTCGAATGCTCAAGTACTCAAGAAAAATTAGTGTATGATGTTTTTGCAGTACATTATGTGTTGGAAACTGTCTCAGCAAGTCACCGACCCTCTTCCCCCTTCTGCTCAGTCCCAACCCTGTTACCACCCAAATGCACTCATTGCAAGAGGAACCAGGCCATTTCAAGTAAAAGAACTCTACTAATCGCAGGCAGAATTGCATACAGACGTAAGTCATTTTTGGCGGCCTTTGAGATACGTCTCTATGTAATATCGAAGTGTGCAGGGGAGAGCGGGGGCGAGCGACCACCCAATTCGGCTTTGTATTATTTTTTTTACGGGAAGCCCCATAGCGTTGTGGTAAGTTCAGCCTAAACAACTCTGATGTCTAAAGAAACTAGAAGGGATAATCTATAACTTCAGAAACTTTTATAAATATACAGCAAGTAGTTTTCATTTTATCGCATTGTAAAATTTGCCTTGTTTTCAGAAGCCAATATTCCTTCATTTTGAAGATCTTTCTTTTCTGTTTAAAAAGATGTATCAGACGTGGAAGTGCGATTCACAAAATGAAACAAAACTGAGTTGTTTAGACCCACCATTATTTGAGGATACACGGCCGGTCACAAACGTTTACGGGCCGCATCGTGGCCGATTTGCCCTGCCGCGAGTGCGTCCACTAAACTGCCTATTTTAACAAAGATGAAGGGGAAAAAATGAAAATTTTAATTTCTATAGTTGAAGCCGAGGTCCGTTGTATCTGATTTTAGTGCAACCCCAATAACTAGTTTTGCGGAGAAATTCTCTCGGCACTTACCTTTGTCTAGGGGTAGTTCCCCCTGAGGACCTGGGTGCGATGGACTTTGACGGTCCACGGCTGCCACCTCCGACAGATGTGGAACTTGATGATGGCTGAAAGAAAAAGTACATTTTTTAAAGATTGATTACATAGATTTCAGTCACTTCTAAATTTTGACTGATTGCTTAGACCTGACATACCAACGGCAGTGTTGGGGGTGAGTTCAGCAACGTGTGGCGACTAGAGGTTTACCGATTGTGGCCACTTGCTGTAACTGCAGGCGCGGTTAAATTGTTAGGAACAGGCCTAGATCAAGGAGTACAATATCATCCTTGGCCTAGATCTAGTCTTCTGATGAATGAGAGCAAAATCAAAATTCTGTCTGGCCTACTAAATCTAGTCTAGATCTAGATTTAGTAGTAGCCTATTTATTAACAAGTCTAGAATCTAAATCTAGATCCAGCAGCCTACTACAGAAGGCTCGATAGGGTTTAGAGGCTTACTTCTACTTGCTCCTAGCACGGTTTGGATAAAAAATCTAGTAGGCCTAAGGGCTAGATAATTTTATGGAAGGACTTCCGTAACGAGGAAGCACCCTAACAAACAACGAAGAGACCTAACCCTAACGAACTGTCCAAACCCTTTATATTCCACTACTGTCTCATAATATTGGTGGTGTCAATTGCCACCGAGTAAATTGGAGCTCTTTTGTGTTTGTGAGTAGATCTAGCCTGTCATGTGCTCGGTGTTCTGCGTTCGTAAACTTGCGACACGCGCCTCTCTCTTTGCCCCTCTCTGTGTGGGGGCGGGGGTCTCTCTCTCTCCCCCTAACCCCAGTCCCCCGGATTTATGTTCACCGATAAATAATATATATGGAACGTTTCTGCTTGAGTTTGTGGAATACTTTTAGAATAGCCTGCGAAGCCTACTTTTATCGATTTTAGACCATCAAGGGATCTGCGCGCAACTTGCACACGGGCCCTCCGAGATTTTTCGACCTTGTCCGAGAAGGCTAGGTGTAGATCTTTCCAACCAGAAGATCAGGGGTGTGGCTGAAAGACAGCAGTAAGAAGAAACAACAGGAGTAACAGTAGAAAGGCTGCAGAAAGAATCGGGAGCCCAGAGGAAGGGGCAAAGGAGGTGAGGGGGTGGGGGCAGAAAGAGGAAACAAAAGCAGACGACAGAACATTGCTAGAGAGCAGGAAATGAGGTGAAAGGAGACAAATTAAGAGAAGAAAATTTTTCGGTCGCTACCCGGATTCGAACCCGGGACCTTTGAATGAGAGGCCAACACCTTAACCTCCAGGCCACGAGAGCCCCCCATTGTCCAGCGTTTGTGTTGGGATGCGAATCTTAGCAACCGATTACGCCGGACGTTTCGGGCAGGCCGCCGGGGCCACTCAGTGTGTACTGTTGGTGTACAGCACACGCATGCCTGGAAACGTGTTTTCGCCAAGAATACAGAGGGAGTATGTTAATGGACGATGAAAATAACGCTTTATCTTTCATAGCTTTCTATTTATAAAGTGTTACAAACACACGAATAACCCCCTCTCATAAGCTGATAAGACATTACGAGTAGTTACGCCCATTCGAATAACTTTTCTTGTTGTATATGAATGACCTGGGGTTCTAACAAGGGATAATGTCAATTTCCGAATTTCTGCACTCAAATTGTTCTTTGTACCTGCACAATGGTATTCAAAATTATCAAATAAGTTTATTTTTTATCAAGTAGTATCGTTTCATAGAAAAATCAAGCTCTTTTGAAAGATTTTGTATAGAGAAATGGAAGTCTTGTTTCCTGACTGTCCTATCCTTTCGAGCTCCTCATGTCTAAGTAGGTCAACTTCTACAATTTCATTGGACGAATATCTAGAGCTACCAACTCTGCAAGTCTTAAATGAGACGTATGCCTCAGTTACGAACCAACGCAGGCGGTTCAAGAAGAAGGCCACAAACGCACACAAACTCAAGCAGACTGACGCACACACACTTTCAGCTATGTGAATGAGGATCCGACTCGGGACCCGAATTCAAGGGGAGATGGTGCTCAGCGCGCGTGCCCTGAGCCAGGGGCCAGACTGACGCAGGACCAGAACGTAGGGGAGGGGCCGAAAAAGGCTTATCGGGCGACACTTACTTTACTTTTACTTTTCCGATCCAGCGGCCATTTGGGTTCTAGCCCTTCGGTCTGTCGATATGGCAAAGAATTGACAGGTTTTAATCAGCTGTGCTTTGTCGCTGTATAGAGTGTTTCCGATGTCTGGGGGGCAGGTAGGTAGGTGCTACGCAGGTCACAAAGTGCTGGGCAGTTAAAGAGATGGTGTGGTACTGTTTCATCCTGGCAGTCGCACAACGGGCAGTCGGGTGGGGTATCCTTGCGGATCCTATTAAGGTAGGAATTTAGTGGTATGTGTTGTGTTCACAGGCGAAATATTGTGACTTGTTCTCTTCTACTCAGGGAATTTATTGCATCTTTAGAGTTGGGGGCTGTCATGTGTGCAAATACAGTTCTTCCAGTTTTGCCCATTGCCCATCCATTCAGCCACTGTTCCTCGGTGTTGCATTTGATGATGTTCTTATCGGGTGACACAAACCCGGCCCTCTCACTCTCAGGACGAGGGTAAACCCTGGAAGCGCGCAGGCCCTATATATAAGGCTGACCTACTTCGACCGGGAACCGCGCAGGCCCTATATAAAGGGCATAGACGCTGACCCTTTTCAATGGAAAATTCCAGTGTTCCTTATATGGAAAATGACGTAGTCAATTACAGGCCAAAGTTATAAATAGTGACCAATGACCTTGCAAGTTATCTTGACCTCGTAGAGCGTCTCTTGGCCGAGATATTGATCGATAAAGTGACGCGGTCCCGCTGAGCGACTACACGCTATGTGTTATCACTTGTTTCGCCGTGCTGATGTACTAATTTTGTAATTGTTGAGTCTATCGCGTTCTCGGCTTTGTTTGTATTTATTTGATCGCTGATCATTTTTGACTGGTTCATTCTATCAGCTTAAAGAAAATAAATGCTTTTATATATGCTTTTTATCATCCGTTGAGCCGTAAATGGTTATTTTTCAGAAGCAGGTAGGTATACATTTCGCGTATCTCAGCTGTTTCCCCCCGCCAAACCCCCATGTTTACAACTGATCAGCCGTGGCGGCGGGGCATTTTTGGCGGGTTACTTCCGGTGAAACGCTGAGCGCTTCTAGGGTTAACCCTCATCCTGCGGGAGCCGGGTTTATGTAGCCCAATAAGCCTATTTCGGCACCTCCCCTGCGTTCTGGTCCCGAGTCAGTGTAGCTCCTGGCTCAGCGCACGCGCATCCTCTTACGTGTCGTTCGGGTCCCGAATCGGATCCCCATTCACGCAGGTCAAGTGTGTGTGCGTCAGTCTGCTTGAGTTTGAGTGCGTTTGTGGCCTTCTTCTAGAACCACCTGCGTTGGTTCATAATCGAGGCATACGTCTCATTCAAAACATGCCAAGTTGATAGCTCTAGATGTTCGTCCAATGAAATTATAGAAGAAATTGACCCACTTAGACATGAGGAGCTCGAAACGATAGTCAGGAAACAAGACTTCCATTTTTCTATACAAGAAAATATTTCAAATGAGCTTGATTTTGTATGAAATGATACTACCTGATAAAAGATGAGCTTGTTTAATAGTTTTGAATACCCTTGTGCAGGTACAAAGAACAATTTTAGTGTAAAACATTCGGAAATTGACCTAAATTATCCATTTTCGAACCCCAGGTCATTCATAACAACAAGAGCGTCCAGAAAGGTTATTCAAATGGGCGTAACTACTCGTAATGTCTTATCAGCTTGTGAGAGGGGGTTATTCATGTGTTTGTAACACTTTATAAATAGAATGCTATGAAGGATAGAGCGTTATTTTCATCATCAGTTAACACACTCCCGCGGTATTCATGGCGAAAACACACGTTTCCCGGCGCGCGCACTGTACACCAACAGTACACACTGAGTGACCCCGGCGGCCTGCCCGGCGAGTCCGACGTAATCGGTTGCTGATAAGATACGCATCTGGGCACAGACGCAGGATAAGAGTTAATAGTGGCCGCTCGTTACGGCTACGGAAGTCCTCCCAATTTACTAGATCTCTAGATCTAGATTCTAGATCTAGATCTAATCTAGATCTACATCTAATACGAGATGGATCGGGCCGATCGCCCGACTCAGTCGCCTGAAACTGAAAACAAAAACTTTTGTTTTTGAGGCCACCGAGTTGGAGTTGGCCGATCGGCCTAATCCCCCGATCCCATCCGACATCCAGAGTGGGCACCCTGTACTTGAGTCCCAATGTCCAATGGTCTAGAGGACTGCTTGTTTCTCTGACCTAAAATAGAGCCCTGTGTCGTGTGTGGTTAAAGATTGGATTCAAAATCTTTCTTTCGGTACCTGAAACACAATACTTTAAAATATTTACCCAAATCATGAGGGTGAACCAAAGGAGACGGGAACGTAGACATGCTCTCAATATCTATGGGGCATCACCGACCAAATATCGAAGTTCATGATTATTCCATTTCAACTTCTACAATGTAGTGACGCTAACAAATTTCGACACAGTCACGCAGAAGTACACATTCTCGCTGTAAGCAACAAGATATTACATCCATAATTCAAAGATAAAACAACAAATATCGACAATACTTACGAGAGTCATGACTGCACAATATGGTTTTCACTGACACCGACACGAAAAGGAAGTGAAGTTTGTGAAGCGTTTTGCGACCAGTGGGTTGGCCAACAAGCCACGTAGAATGGGGTCAAATCTAACTTCCGGTTTCACTCCTCCACCTCTTTTTAGGTTAACAGGTCAGACCAGGAAATTAAGTACTAGGCCAAAGGGAGGCTACTAAAATTACTTAAACAGAATTTAGTTCTCAGGGTTATGCACCTTATCTCGTTAAATAGGGTCTTCAGTTGGTTTCAGTGATCGAAAGGATTGGGCGTGGCTTCAAACTGCCCCTTTTGGGTCAAATTGTGATATCTAAGTTGTTAACTAACAAGTGAAGTCAATTACTTTTGTATCTAAAAAATTCCGAAACTCTTATTCTCGCCATGAATTGTAGTCATTTGCCAAATGTCATCTGCAATTCTTTACATGCATCGTAAAAAAATCTTATTCGCATCGCGTTCATTTATTGTCTAAATACCACGCTGCCCATTAAGAAGAAAAGTATATTATAGGCCTATACAAGATTTGTTTCTTTTATTTTATATCTCTCAACGGGCTTGCACCCCAGTCAACATCTCTAGTGGTATTCAAAGGGCCTACGTATAATTATCCACACTTCATCATCATCATTGCCTCTCTGACCCTGCACCAGGGCCACGGACAAACACCTTCCACCTTTCTCTATCCTGGGCTAGCCTCTTGGTGTTATTCCATGTCTTCCCACTTTTCTGTACATCGATTTCTGTGATTCTTCTGGAGGTTCCGCGCGGTCTTCCCCTTGATCTCTTACCCTGTAGGTTCCAATCCAAAACTTTCTTGGTTATGCAGCTGTCTGACTTCCTGAGAGTATGTCCAATCCATCGCCATCACCTTCTTCATATCTCATCTCTGACTGGGATCTGTCTTGCTTTCCTTAACACTTCCGCATTGGTGACCCTGTCTGTCCATCTGATCCCCAGTAACTTTCTTAGACACCTGTTCAAGAAAACCTGGATCCTCTTTATGCAAGTCTGTGGTGTGTTCCAAGTCTCACATCCATACAACAGTACCACATTTGAATTGAAAATCCTCAGCTTTGTTCGAAGTGAGATATCTCTGGTCTTCCAAATCCTATCCAAAGATATGATTAAAGCAGCCTGCGCTTTTCCAATGCGGGACTTTGGGAACTTTATTTCAGCACCTGCCCCCCCCCCCCCCCCCCCCCCCCCCCCCCCCCCCCCCCACCCCACCCTCTCTGTCAATTGTGACTGTTCCTTCCGTTGTGTATCTGTCAGTAGGACCTTTGATTTTCCGGGGTAGATCATCAATCCAACAGACTCCGATTGGCTGTTTAATACTGAAGTCTTTGCTTGCATCTGTTCATGGGTGTGCAACAGAAGCTCCAAGTCGTCTGCAAAATCCAGATCGTCCAACTGTGTCCATGGTGTCCACTGTATACCATTTCTGAGTCCTCTGGTGGTTTCCTTCATCAGCCAGTCGACTTCCAATATGAAGAGGAACGGTGATAATAAACATCCCTCTCTCACACCAGTCTTGGTGTCAAAGCTGTCAGTGAGCTGGCTATCTTGTACAACCCTGCAACTTGTTCCATCGTACTAGCTCTTGATGAGCTTCACCATCTGCTGTGGGATTCCGTGGTGTCTCATTATCTCCCATAGTGTTGCTCGGTCTATGCTGTCAAAAGCATTCTCATAGTCAAGGAAGTTGACGATCAGCTGGGAGTTCCACTCCACGGACTGTTCCACAATAATCCTCAGCGTGGCAAGCTGGTTGGTATTTGAGCGATTTTTCCGGAAACCAGCCTGTTCATCCCGTTGCCTTGGACCCGTCGCTGTCTTGATTCTCTCCAGAATGATTATGTTGAAGACCTTACCTGGTATTGAGAGAAGAGTGATCCCTCTGTAGTTGCTGCAGTTGCTGAGATCCCCCTTTTTTGGAAGCTTCACGAGGTGTCCTTCTTTCCAATCCTTGGGAACTTGCTATCGTTCCAGATCCTGGTAAACAGTGGGAGGAGGATGTCTGCCGTCACATTGGCACCTGTTTTAGGGCTTCAGGTGGAATCTGGTCTTTACCTTTGTTCAGCTTCTTAATGGCATCCAGAATCTCTTGTTTTGAAGGAGAATCACAGCGGATTGGTAACTTATTTCTTGCTGGCAGGATGTTTGGTGGGTTACTCGGTGGTGGTCTGTTCAGGAGGCTGTTGAAATGCTCTACCCATCGTTTGGACTGAGCTTCCTTTCCAAAAATGGTTTTCCCCTCTTGGTCCTTTACTGGTACTTCAGGTTTCCCGTATTTTCCAGCAAGTGTCCTTGTGGTCTAGTAAAGGATTCGTATGTGCCCTCCTGCCGCTGCTTCCTTTGCCTTCTCTGCACGCCTCTTCATGAATTCCTCCTTGTCTTTTCTTAGTGATTTCTTGACATCTTTAGCTGTTGTCCAGTACTGCTCCAATGCATCCGCTCTTGATCCTCTTGTTCTACTGGCATTCGCTTCTGCCTTCAGCTGTCTTCTTATCCTAATTAAACCTAAAGAGTGTTGGATAATCCATTCCTTGTGCACCCATTTCTTCACACCGAGTACTTCTTAACTGGTTGATGTAAAGACTTCTTTGACATTGGTCCAGTGTGTGTCCACCTCCGTGTCCTCTCCACCAAGATCAGCCAGAGGTTGAAATCTGTTCCTCAGCTGCAACTGAAACTCTTCTTTCTTGTGTCCGTCCAAGAGACTTACTTGGAACTTCGTTCTTTTTATTCCTGTGCTGGTTTCGTACTTTTTGAGTCGAAGCTTGAGTTTTGCCAACAGCAGATGATGATCCGATCCAACATCTGCCCCTCTCTGTACTTTGACATCTTCCAGTGAACGCCTGAACTTACGAGAGATACAAAAATTATCTATCTGGTTCACTCCATCTAGCAAAACCCACGTGGCCTTGAGAATCCTCTTGCGGGGAAAAACAGAGCCTCCAATGACCAAACTGTTGAAGGCACATATATTTGCGAATCGCTCACCGTTCTCATTCATTTTCCCAAGCCATGTTGTCCCATAATTCTTTCATACCCCACGTTGTCCTGACCAATCTTGGCATTGGCATCTCCCATCATGATTTTGACATCCTTCCTTGGTAGTTTGTCGATGAACCCCTGGAGCTAGCTGTAAAAGGTATCCTTGTCTTCATCCGAAGCACCATTTTTGGGGGCGTAGATTTGGACAATATTTGGACTATATTCATGTTGATGCTTTTGCTCCTTGTAGCGAATAAAGCCATGGTGATCTTTTCCCCGTGTGGTCCCATCCTCTAATTGACTTCTGTGCATACTTACTCAAAATGATTCCCACTCCTTCCGAATGGTACTTTTCGTCCCTCCCAGAATACAATACTTGTTCCCTCGAGCTGAGCTGCTTCTGTCCAGACTGTATCCAGTGTGTTTCGCTGACTCCTAGTATATGCAGCCTATATCTCTTCATCTCTTGTACTACTTGAGAGTTCTTTCCTGCTTATTATCCACACTTACGAAGCAAATAAGATCGGCTTCAGATAAAACTATTTTAGTTGCAACTACTTATTGCCGTTATAAGCTCTGGCCTGTGCTTTATCTTTTATTTACCCGCTACTACCTATATCCCTGTATACATGTATTTATTTATTAGTACACATATTTTCGTCCTTCTATGTTCCTTTGTTTATAAGTGCGAATCCTGAATGTATTTTAATGCAGTCGTAGGCTACTAATTAGGTCTTGTAAAGTGCTTTGAGCACTGTGAATTTAGAAAGTGGGCTATTTTAATGCGTTGTATCATTGTTAGGAAATAACTCTCATAATGGCATTTTGGGCTGTTATTTATCTAATATTATTATGCTCTCCTTTTATTCTTTATAATAATGCTATTTGCTAAGACTGTTTACAAACAACGTTGCATGTTATACTTAATTAACTGTCATCAATAATTTACAAGTTAGAACACACACACACACACACACACACACACACACAAACACACACACACAAACACACACACACACACACATACACACAC